CGAGGTCCCTTCCCAGTGAGTTTTCAGTTTAAACAAGTATAACACAATGAAGAAAAAGATCACCTTGTCTACAAGGGAGAGAAGCATGACCACAAAGAGAAAAAGCTATCAATATGTGATCTGTGTTATTTTTAGAGACCTTGGGAAAAAGCCTTTATCGAAAGGTGTTTTTTGGGGAGTATAGGAGAGTGAGGGTGTAATGATAATACGTACATCTTCCAAAAATTTTAGCTATGGCCCAGGCAGTCTCTAACAACTTGATCTATATTAACTAATTTAGTCATCAAAAAGATTATATGGGGCTGGCCCCGTGGCTTAGTGGTTAAGTGCGTGCACTCCGCTACTGGCGGTCCTGGTTCGGATCCTGGGCGCGCACCAACGCACCGCTTGTCCGGCCATGCTGAGGCCGCGTCCCACATACAGCAACTAGAAGGATGTGCAACAATGACATACAACTATCTACTGGGGCTTTGGGGGGGAAAAAAAAGGAGGAGGATTGGCAATAGATGTTAGCTCAGGGCCAGTCTTCCTCAGCAAAAAGAGGAGGATTGGCATGGATGTTAGCTCAGGGCTGATCTTCCTCACAAAAGGAAAAAAAAAGATTATATGATGCAGAAGTTCTTATTACTACATTTTACAGATAAGGAAACAGAGATATCGGAAAGTGGACTTGCCTAGAATCATACAGAATGGCTGGGCTTTGAAACAAGTCACTGCGAGGAAGGAAAATTCTTTGAAAGATTAATCTTTCTGTCAATCCAGGATCCTGCCCGGTATCTTAAAGTAAAAGTAATTAATTAAAACTAAAAGAGAAAGGATTTAGATTAGTTTCAACAAAAACTTTCCAATTGAAAGAATACGCAGGAAAAAAAAGTTCACCACGCAATACTACACGGAATGTCCCTTGTAGGTATCAGAATTAACAATCAGCCTTGCTGGATGGTATTAAAAAATCCTTTCAGGAACAGAAGGGATTAGCCTAGAACTTGTTCTAGGCCTGTGAGAAGTAATATTTGGCTTTAATCAAGGAGAGAAGGTAAATACACAAGAGTCTCCCCTCATGTCTATTAGCTAGTCTATGCAGGCACTGGGCATGTCCTGACACTATAACCATCACCACTTTCTAGAACTCAGCCTGGACAAAGAATATGTCCAGTAAATATTTGTTGAATGAATGAATTAGAAAGAAAAGAATATGAAAATGACATGTTTGTGGAGGATTCTAGATAGTTTGGAAAGTTGAGGTAAGATTTTGATTCAGAAGGCAGTCTTGAAGAAATCAGAGGAGGGAAGCATGACTACAGCACTGGAGTAAGAACCGCAACTGAACAAGATTTAGACTTGAAAGGCCTCTAAATAAAGTGAATAAGAGAGAGAAAACAGATGATAAAAGCAGCTGCAATAAAAGTCCTATAAAAGTTTTTGAGCAGAGAGCAAGGTGTTCATGTTTTATCAATAGTGTTAACGAAAATAACACCCACATGGGAAAACTTTAAACTGTGCATACAATAATGACCAAAAGCAGCAGCAGATGACATGTGGGGGCACTTCTCTTGTGCCAGGCCCTGGATAAAATGTTCTATGTATAGAGGACACTGGTTAAGCACAAGGGCTCAGATTGACCCCCACCTCCTTCTCCAAATAACCTCGATCAAGTCATTCCTCTGTGTCTAGGTGTCTTGTGTCTAATTATCCGTGAGACAATAATAGCATCTACTCTCTAGGCATGAAATTGAAAAGATTAGATGAGAATGTGTGGGGGGAGAGAAATGGGCATGAGGGGACAAATAGAAGAAAACTTAGATTTTTCTAAGTTTTCACATAAAATAGGCATAATCGGTGCAGCCTGGTGGGTATGACGAGTAAGTTAAGGAGAACAAGCCATTCTCAAAATAGTGAAAACAGAACTCACCAGTCATACCACCAGGCTGGACTGATTATGTCTCTCTTTGTGTCATCCCTTACTTTATATGTGTTTTTCCCCCTTAATTTCATTATTTTCAAAAATTTCATTATTTTCAAATACTTGTTTTCATGAATGTCTCCATCACTGAACCATGAGATCCTTGAAGAGAGGGGATGTGTTTTAAGTATCATTTATTCCCGGCCCCTAGAATCATGCTTAACACACAATTAGTTGTGCTAGAATGATTGTGTGAATGGTAGGGAAAGACCGTATGAGAAAAATTGATGTGAATAAGAATTATATGAATTTTTAGGTGAAAGATGTAGGAAACACCTTCAGAAAAAAGAAAATTGATAAGAACATAGAATTATATATGTATATATGTTATACATGTAAATTATATATATACACAGACACAGACATCTATCAGTTGTGTATGCAAACATAAAGTTTGTTATTAAGATCTCCCAAAGCGCCTTTCATTTAATTTAACTCCATTGGTCTTTGTTATTTCATTCCATATCATTTCTTTTTACTAGATAAGGGGCATGAGTTCATGCTTCTTCCGATTTTGAAGAAGTGAGAAATTTCACTTAAGGTTGAGAGGGGGTGTGATGGAGAGCCTTGGAACTATCTGAGATGGGTAGAGGAAGGAGTTAGCACAGAGAAGCGGGGGCCACGCAGACGTCCTGAAGTAACCCTAGCAGAGCCATCTGAGCATCCCACACTTTAGCAATGTTGTGGCTATCAATGTCTACTATCCTTATACCTATCTTCTTGAGGTTCTCCCTTGATTTCAGAATTTTTCCCTTGATTGACAACCCGACCGAAGTCTGATTAACCTGTGTTCTGTGCAACCCTCTATTGGTGAACCAAGGTTTCATATCTTCACACACTGTTGCTAAAACACTCAACTCTTTCCTCCTGAACTTAGAAATTCTTGGCCAAGCAACATCCTCTCAAACAACTGGATTTCAGTAGGTCATAATTCTCCCTAAATGCCATATGCCTTATATTGGAATGAGCTTCTTGGTATGTAAGATACACTCCAAATCCTAGAAAAGCTACACTCTTCACATGGGTTAGCCTACTTTTCATGCATTCTTGTGTGAGACATAAGCCAGTGCCCAGTCCTTTTCTAGGCAGAGTAGGCCCTCAAAAAATATTTATTAAATAAAGGAATTAGTGAATTCGTGTTAAATAAAGGAATCAAGGAATGAACTCCCTCCACTGCTTGCCTTTGAGCATGTGACAGAGGATACACTAAATTAGATTCCACTTAGAAAAACCACCTTCTCCTTGAGACTGTCTCTCAACTGAAAACAGAACTATTAAAATTGACGGAGTAGAATACCACATGCAAAACACCACATATTATTAACCTGTCCCAATCCTTGATGCTGTATCTTTCACCTACATCTCAACCTCATCACATAACACACGTTAACTGAAACATTACCACCAAACCGTAGGGTTTGGTGGTATCCTCTCCATTGTAATTTCCATTTTAGCAATTGTCAGGGCACAGTTCTTCAGCAAAATTAAACCTTGCTTGAGAACAGACAGATTCTCACCCTATACACTCCTGTCCTCTAATTTGATCTTTTATTGTACTGAATTTCAATGGCACAAAGTCAAGGCTATAAAAATTCCTTGAAGGGTTCACTTTTCTTAATTGTCCAGATACATTCACTACTTATATTATCCAACTAAACATCTATACTAAATGCCTTGTCAATCAACAGTTTCTTACACCTGGAGGATGTTCAATAAAAGTTTTGTCTAACCTAGTAATAAAATACTTACTAAGTATCAACCATGTTTAAAACCAATAAAATTCTCAAACCATACATTTTGATTCCAGGGACTTTTACAAGATGTTCTCTGACTATAATACTATGGTCACCAAGAAGCAGAGAGTCACCAGAAACTACAAAGTAATATTAAAATAGTCACCCTAAAAGAACACAGTCTTTTAAAATTTTTACATAGAAAAATTATTCTATTACGGGAACATTCAGGTTTTATTTTTGTAGTCAAAATGACAAAAGCAAACGTCTTAAAGGAAAATCAGAATTTATCAACCATGGATGATTTTAAATATTAATGCTATAAAAGTCAAAGGTAGCTATAAAGCAGACTGACAAAAGTAAATTTGTCCTAGATACAGCTCTCTATAACAGACCTGAAAAACATCAGCTAATACATTACAAGATAAAAATAAGAAGGCATCAAATACTATGAAAACAGCATCAAGTTTGTGTTTCAATTTCATCAAGTTAAAAATAGGTCACAGTTAGAATGAACCTAAAAAAAACAAAACAAAACAAAACAGGGTAAGGTCAATATCACAAAGTGATTAAAGAGATGGAGGGGAGGTTTCTTCTAAGTCATTAAACTCACCAATATTATACTGAACTCCAGATCACTTACCATTTTCCTGTGCCCTTAGAGAATTTAGTAGGTTCACTGAATTGACTGATTTCTTTGTTAACCTATTTACATGGGTTAAGACCCTGACTGACATAAAACACAACTAAAAAATCCCAGACAGAGAGTGTAATGAAAGAATGAGTGATGTATAGTTTGGGGTACAGCCTATCCAATAAACGTGCTTGACCAGCAAAGAACCCATTGGCAAAGATTTATTGTCGGAACAAATACATTCTAAAAAGATCTAATACAATAAAACCTGCCGTATAAATACAAACTATTCTAAAATACGGTTCTTTGCCCTGCGTAATGTATAGCTTATTTTTCTATGATTATCTTAAAATTCTCTTCAATTTTTTCAACCAAGAATAAACTTTTTGAACAAGTAAAACCAAAGGGTATAGTGTATGAAATGGCACTAGTGGTACAGTTCTCTAATTCATATAAAAGAAAATGAAGTTTATTACTTAGAACTCTTCAACAACCTTTAAAACATATAAAGAGAAGAAAATATTTCTAGGAAAATGTATGATCAAGAGAAAAGGTAAAAATGAATCACCTACTAGAACAATGAATTATTATGTTTTAATTATATGTAACACATTAATACCAAATTAGTAAAAGTTAAAGCCAAACACAGAAATTATTTTAAATGTTATACCTCCAAGTTCTTTTACATTCAAGATGGCATTCTGGAATGGCACTGCTTTTATACTAAAACCTAAAATTAGAAAACAAAAACATAAAAAAAGAATTAGAAACTTAACTTTTAAAAATGTGTAAGAGGCTTAAATCCTCTTTTTTATGCAGATTAACAGTTACTCTTCATAGCTCATATTTACACTAGAAACACATAATTTCCAACATAAATTAATAACCCAATATTATCGTCAATCATTTTTCAAAACATAGTTGTCTATTACAGCAAAATATAACCCTTTTCTTCAAAATATTGCCTTATTATTTAATTAAATATATAATGTCACTTTGTAAATTTTATCAATCCTAAGAAAGACATTTGGAAATACAGAGAAACTTCAAAGAAAATATTAAGTCTAGGGGCCGGCCGGGTGGCATAGCGGTTAAGTGCATGCTCTCCGCTGCAGCAGTCCAGGGTTCCCAGGTTCGGATCCCAGGCGCGCCCCAACGCACCTCTTGTCAAGACATGCTGTGGCAGCATCTCATATAAAGTAGAGGAAGATGGGGGTGGATGTTAGCCGAGGGCCAATCTTCCTCAGCAAAAAGAGGAGGATTGGCATTGGATGTTAGCTTAGGGCTAATCTTCCTCACAAAGATAAAAAAAAAAAAAAGAAAATATTAAGTCTACCAGGACCTTTGCATCTAATTCCTAAAGTTAATTTTCTCTCACATATAACTCAGCAACCCTAGAGATTAAGGTATCTAAATTATAACTATCTAATATTAGAATTACATAATATTTATGTTTGTGTTTTCTTTTGAGGACATGGTTAACGTCAGACATAATTTTTCTTAAAAGTGCAATCATAATTATCCAGTTATGCATAGGCTATCATTTTATAATGCATGCAATAAATGATTTCTACTATAAAAATATATTCAGAGTATAGTTTTATGATTAACTATGTATTTAGGACTTTATAATCATTCAAGTCATGATTGACGTGAACATATTGGGTTCATAGGATTTAGTATAAAAGCATATCAGTTGCAACATATGTGAGTGTGCATATACCCACACACACAAATACATATACACTAATTATTTTTGAAAGAATCCACAAGAAACGGTAACTAGTAATGACCGTTGGGAGAACTGGGATCTGGAGGTCTTAAATAGAAGAGAGATTCTTTTGTTTCACTTGAAAGTTTTAGCATATACAAGTCCTTCTTTTTCTATTAAAAGCCCTACTAATTTTTAACAGTTAATTTATTCAGTAATTTCTGAGCATCCAATTTAAGGTTTTAAACATTATTTAGTATGTACACTTACAAGACAAATTAAACACAGTCCCTTTTTCAAGAAATTATCAACAGAGTCAAAGAGAAGACAAAGAAATAACTTTTCATTTGAAGCAAGTTATGATAAGAGCCTGGAAAGGTAAAAAGATATGAAGATATGGATATGAACAATTCTTTTATAGGGTTTTGCTTTATTTTATAAAAAAGGAAATCAATATGTAATGATTTTAACCACGCAAAGGCTAAAAAGTGACTAGGTTTAAATACGCTCTGTGACCGTGGGCAACCTACCAGCCTTGGGTTTCATCACTGTGAAATGAAATGATAGGACCTACCTCAGAGGGTTGTTGTAAGGATGGGAAAATGCATGTATTAGGCTCATCACAGTGCCTGGTACAAATAAGCATACAATATATTACTGCTGGCACTATATGTCAATTTATGCTGTATTCATGATTTAATCATCAGGTATACATATCTTCTGAATATATTATAAACTCCTAAGACAGAACTCCTGGGTGCCCATTTACTAATCTAAGTACTTAATTGGAGCTGTAAATGTTACCATTGAATGAGAAGTACCTTTGTTGGACTGATGAAGCACAAATAGTTGAAATTTGTTGTACAGACTGTAAATGTTTATATGGCTCTCTAAGAATCTTCCAAAACCTACCCTTCCTGTGTGAGTTTAACGCAGATTGACACAGTTGGCAGGCACAGCATTATGGTTAATGGTGCACGCAGTCACTGAATCTTAGTAAAACTGCGGGATGAATAAGCAGGCAGCCTCATATGGCTGAAACACTGTCATGTACCTGGGCCTGCAGGAAAGCCTCCCCAGGTGTCTGGCCTCTGGGAAATTAAGGAAAGTCAATGCCAATCACAATACTCCTGCTGGCACTGAAATTTGCCTGCAGGAGACTTGGATGCTTGAATGTATCTACCTACCTCACAGGGGTGTTATATGGATTAAAAGGCAATGATTGTGAAATCCTGAAAATGAAAAGCCCTATGCAAATGCTAAACAGTCCATGAGCGGTTATGTTTAGGACAACTCAAGTATGGATTTTCCAGAGAAACGGGACAGGTCCCAACTCTGAAAAAGACACAGTTATGGAGCACATTAGCAATGTTTAATCTACTTTGATTCCTAAAAGCTGACAATACACAGGCACCGAAAGGGAAGTAATATCTTTCCAGAAACTGCTGCACCCATATGCAAAATACAACCTTTGAAATTTATTAATCCAACAGGCAGATTATATCATTGTTACTATCTTTAATCCTTGCACAGACATCATAATAAATTGACTACAAAAATGTCCTCAAATGCTCACGCTAAGCAAAGTAACCTAGCAATGTTATTTATAGGCATATAAATGTTTCTGCAGAGTACTCATAAATGTTTTCTCTCCAAATAGAACATGTGTGGCTGGATTTATACTGCAAAGGTATATACAAGTCTTCCATTTTGCTGTCTTCATATTATTTTTACAGTAGAGCTGTGGTAATTAATGTTGAGAGGACGAAGCCTAGATAATCAGTCTAGAAAATAAGAAAATGTACTATTCATGGAAAAGAAACAATATTTTTCTTTTGGTTATTCTAAATGTTTGAAGGATTAAAAATAATTAAAATTTAAAGCCATACTTGCAGTTCACCAGAAAAGCAATCAAGAAGGGTGACTATCAGATCGACTATATTTTATTTCTTTACATTGGGCTGGATGAGGTCAAGTGGTGCAATTAATATTATATTTAGTAGGGGGCGGCCCGGTGGCGCAAGCGGTTAAGTGTGCCCACTCCGCTGCGGCGGCCCGGGGTTCGCCGGTTCGGATCCCGGTCGTGCACCGACGCACTGCTTGTCAAGCCATGCTGTGGCGGCGTCCCATATAAAGTAGGAAGATGGGCATGGATGTTAGCCTAGGGCCAGTCTTCCTCAGCAAAAAAAGAGGAGGATTGGCAGATGTTAGCACAGGGCTGATCTCCTCACAAAAAAAATATATATATATATATATTTAGTAGGGATACAAAGGTCAAACCATCAAAATATCTTTCTCAAAGGTTGCTTTGAGAAATAAAAAACACTGGATAGCATGGACTCTAGAGCAAGAAGGTCTGGGTTCCAATTCTGGCTCTACTATTTATTAACTGTTGAACTTGGCGCAAGTTAGTTAATTCCTCTATGCCTCAGTTTCCTCATCTGTAAATGAGAAAAGATGGCACTCAGTGCTAGAAAGTGTCTTTTTTAAATAAATAAAATTAAAAATTGAGAACACTAATGGTCAGCAAACAACCACTGGATGCTTCAAATTTCTCTCAGTCAAAATCATGCGTGGCCTCAAGCTTTGACACATTTTGAAAGCAGTGGTAGAAACAAGTGTTGTTGTAGTAGCAGCCAAAAACAAACATTTATTGAGGACTTCTACAGACTAAATGTTTGGAGTCTTCCTTAGCACTTCCTTTCCCTCTCTCCCAAACCCAATAAGGCACCAACGCCGGTCAATTCCATCTGCTAAATAGTTCTCACATATGTCCACTTCTCTCCATCCATCTGCACAACTCCAGTCAAGCCACCACCATCCGGACAACGGCAAGAGCCTCCCTAACTAAACACTTGGCATCTGTTACCGGCCTCCTCCATCATCTCCACACATTAGCAGAAGTGATCTTCCTGAAATGTACATCTGTTCACATCACTCCCCTAGTCAAAACCTTTGGATAGCTTCTCGCTACTCAGGATATAGTTCAAAACACCTAACAAGACCCTACCTAATCTGGTTCTCTCCCCTTCTTCAGGCTTATTTTGTACCATCTCCCCCCCATTTATACTCTTCAGTTCCTAAAACAAGCTATGCTCCTTCCATCTCAGGGCCTTTGCACACACTGCTCCATAAGATTTCTTTGCCCCTCTGACAAACTCTTCATCCTTCAGGTGGTGGTTTTTTTTTTTTTTTTTGCTGAGGAAGATTGCCCCTGAGCTAACACCTGTGCCAATCTTTCCCTATTTTGTATATGGGATGCTGCCACAGCATGGCTTGATGAGCGGTGTGTAGGTCCGCACCCGGGATCCAAACCCGCGAATCCCAGGCCACCGAAGCAGAGCATGTGAACTTACCCGCTACACCACTGGGCCAGCCCCCAGGTGGTGTTTTAACTTTACCTCATCAGGCAAGCTTTCTCTGGTGTTCATGAAATAGGCTGATTTTTTGGATCCATGTTCTTCTAGCACGCAGTACTTCTCCTACGTGATTTTCACAGTTGTAATTATATATCAGTTTCTTTGTTTTATGTCTGTCCCCAGCTAGACTGCAAGGATCCATAACAGAACAACAGTACAGTGTATCCTATATGCCAGTGCTAGGCACATAAGAGGCTCTCCATATCTGTTTAAAGACCTGTACTAAGGGTTTATATTTATTTCCTAATTTAGCTGTCACAACAATCCTAAAGATAATGTTAGTACTACTGTCCCAGGAGGAAAGAGAAGAGGGGTTAGAGGGGTAAAGCATCTTATCAAATGTACTAAGTACTATATTCAAAACCTGAACCCAGGTCTCATCACCAGAGCCCATCAGAACTCTGCACTACGGCATCTCCTCCATATACCAACAAGCCAACAGATGCACACTATTTGATCCAATTTTGAGTCTAAATACTGATGGAGCTGATTGGAAAAATACACACATGCCTAATAAACCCACTAATTTATTTTCTCTCCTATTTATAATAATCCAACACAAAGAACCAAAATAAGCGTTCTCAGGTCTACACTACAGAT